GCCAGACTCGATTCCCCTTTTGTCACATTCTCCCCGTCGATCCAGGCTTGGAGAGAGATAGCTTTCGTGCATGTCTTATCAATTCCGTCCATCCCTTGCTGGTAACTTTAAATATATTTATCTCAAGCTAGGTTCATTCGAGTTAAAATATATCAAAACGGGTTACGTCTCTTCACACACATTCATGGTCATCAACTTAGGATGCCATTCGGATACATTCATCACGGACCGGTTCACCCCAGCGAAAATATACAGCTTAATGTGACAGATCCCCGCTTTGACACTCTCCTTCGATTGTGACTGCATGAGATCGACAAGTAGTAGTGCCTCAGAAACTGTGATTGTATTGGAAAGTTGAAATGGGAAGGGGATACTCGCGTTCTGTTTGACATTTTACGGGAGGGAGTCGTTTGAGTACTGATGGGCGTGTACGACCTTCACTTTGATTAGTTCAAGTTCTTGAAGCAATTTAGGGAAAGACAAGAAATGCAAAAATACTGTAAGGAAAATATGCCTACATGCACTGATGATATCCATAGAAAATCAGAGATGCATCAGCTTCCAACAGCAATCTACAAACATATGATCATAATTTTTGGGTTAAAATGCACTCCCGGTAGTACACCCACGTTGGGCCAATGTTGAAATTCCATATTTGTGATGTGGGCCCAACGTTGGTACCTCGTAGGCTTGTCCGGCGGCCAAATGTTTTGCAGCGGAACAGCGCAGCCACACGGTCCGATACTTAAACGAGTGGATTAGTTAAAATCAGTAGTCAACATGGAGACTTCTACTGATTTAATTCCAGCTAGGCTACAGGCTTTGAGTCCATCAATCACGAACACAGAGAATATTAATATTACCGCTACATCAGTACAAGTGCTCTTTCCAGTTTTAATGGAGTTCATAAGTCAAAATTTGCGTGTTACTGCCACTTCACCTGGAACATAATGCACTTTCGTCTCCCACGTGCACTTTTGAAGTTAATAATTACTATTCCGTTTCAGATATCACCCCAGGGACGCACGAAATCTTCTGGAAAGAGTTTTATTTTGCACGAACCTGAGATGAAGATAATTCCATTGCATAGAATGTTAACTTTCGCCGGCTTCAGTGCCCTGCTTTTCCTGATCTATTTCCTCGTTCGTGAATGGAACAAATCCAGATTGGCACCTGACCTAATGGAAATGTGCACTAAATTGGATTGTGACATGAACTTAGGAAAGGAAGTCTCATTCAGTGGCGCGTGGTGTCCCAGGGAAAGCGTGGTGAAAATTCGCGAGGCCTATTTCGACGAACCTCTTGCAAAAGAGATTTCGAAATTTCTCGCCGGAAAATCCGTAGCCGATTTTGGGGCTGGCAGCGGAAAATACGTGATTAAGCTGAAAGAACTGAGGGAAGTGGCCAATGCCGACGGTTACGACGGGATGCCAAGCGTGAATGTCATCAGCAAGGGAGCCGTGAAGCAAGTGGACCTGACGGAAGACCTCGGGACGAGCATCCCCATGTACGATTGGGTCATGAGTTTGGAGGTCGGAGAGCACATCCCCAAGGAGAAGGAGGAAATTTTCCTGAAGAACGTGTGGGGCCATGCCCGAGATGGGATCATTTTGTCTTGGGCCACACCTGGTCAAGGTGGGAGCGGTCACGTGAATAATCGCCCAAATGAGTATATCGTAACAAAGATGGCTAGTGCATCGTTTGCTTTTCAAGGGAGAGAGACTGAGCAGCTTCGAAAAGTTGCTCGCCTTGAACATTTCCACTGGACGCTGATGGTTTTTAAGAAAATGCAGGTATAATCTCCCTACACTCTTGGAAAAAAATGGGAATGTTAAATCCAGTTCCCCTTTTTTATTCCGATGAGAACAGGAAGAGAGGTACGGTATTCTCATGTTATCTTCCTTTAGTTCTTCCAGAGAAAAAAAGAAAGGTAAGATGAGCAAGAGGAAGGGAAACTGGAGTTACCGGTCGCCGATTTTGTAAGAGTGAGTCACAAGAATCCTCGTAATTTTGAGGTCTTCTAACAGCAAATCTAGAAAATTACGTCCTTTAAATCCATGACATCTTGTCGCATGGTCGCCACGAAATAAATCTGAAATGCAGAAATGTTTCCATACTCGCTTCACTGAGGAGACTGGATCTTCGCGATGCCAACGGTCACCATTTTCATAGTTTCTCAATTTTTCTTTAAATCCCTCTCGCAATTGCCCAGGAACCGGGCACAAAATGGTCGGGGTTGACGAGGTTTCTATCCGAAACCTTTCAGGATTCTGAAGACTTTTTTTTTTCTCTTTCATCTCTTCGGGGGCAGATGGCCACCCTCACTTCATCACCCGGTCCAGAGCTTCGCACACCCTTTCCACAATCGGCTGTATGCTGATGTGGTGCGGTGGCAGCTGTTCAACGAGGTCCCTCGCCGTGGAGTCCCCGAGTTTCGCAAGGAATTATGAATCGTAGATTCATTGCGATTCAATTCGAGAACAATCGTGATGTGTGAAATCACGAGACATTTCTAGATATACCCATACGAATCGTTACCCCCCCCCCCCACCACGTTCACCTATACTCTGTACCGCACACTAAAATATTATGAGACACTTCTGATTTACATTTTAGTTTTTCGGTCTGGAAACATAATTCTTTGAATTTTGTTTTGTTTATTACTTATTTGCTGAAAATACTAGCAGGTCAAGTAGTTAAGAAGTTATTGCATATTTTGTTGGCCAGTGCATATATTAGTAAACCGCAATAGGAAATTAATACAGGGAGGGTAAGGATGCCTTCGTAGTTTGTATCATCCTGCGATATCGACTCGATACTGATGTCCGTTTGCATTTTTATTCGGCGTCTCTTCTCTGGAGAATACCCTGCCACTACTCGACCTAGTTCCCTCTGTGTCGGCTTGCTCCTACTGCTCTTGACACTTCTGCACAACTTCTTATGCACTACAGGCATTCAAAACTCTATATGTTAGGAAGTCACTCCAAAAAAAAAAACAAATTGAAACTTCATGACTTGGTTTGTTAACATCCTTCTGTTTTTACCGTATGCATTTTTATTGCAGTGATGAAGTAAAGGGTGGCGATGACTTGCGATCGGTAGGTCTACAAACACGTAACCTCCGTAAGGAATTCGCCAGGGAATTCAGCATCAAAACCCGCATTATGTTAGCTCTGTTGCCGTATATTCTAACAAACGATGCCAATTTCGGAAGGGAAGGCGGGATGGAAACGAAGATGGAAGGTACTTTTTTTTGGCTTTTAAACTGTTAAACTGAGAAAGAGTTAGGAACTGCGACATGCTGCTTTGAGCTCATGTGGATTGCTTCCTGGCTTTTATTGGCTGATGAGATGCCGATTGGTTCCATGCATCAGGGGGAATGGAGGAAAGCCACCATTGAAATGATCTGTGAGGTAAATCAATACCTGTCTAAGGCATTCCAAGTCGACTGGTGAAGCAGTTACGCCTTAGACTCCGAATCGCTCGAGAAATCGTTGCAGGGTGGCTTCCAAGAGTAATGGGGAAGTTAACCCACGAGTTAACCCAAAGTTGACCCACAAGAAGAAAAGTGACATTTAGAGTCACGGTGCTATATTGGTCCTAGTTGAGCTAGGAAATCGTTTTTGAACTTTTAATTAGAGCTGAGAAAATGCATAATCTGATTCTTGAATGCATTTTCTGGTTTATTCATGGCGATATGATGTGAACATTTTCGGGTTTAGGAAATATACGAAAATTTCATGCAAATTTTTGAGCTCATGAAGGCATGGTAAGACATAGATTTTGAAAACCTCCAAAACAAGGCAATGAGAATGTGAAGAACTAAATTTTAACTTCCTACTTCGATCGAAACCATGGGAAATTAAATTTTGACAAGTTTAATTGTGCCAATTTGATCTAAATTGATGGATGGTATTTTCTGTTTCCAACAATATACAAACTTGTAACTTCTGTAATGTCAGATGAAAGCTCTCCCAAAGCTCTTTTCATTTACATATATCTCATGCTGGTGAATTAAATTTTCACGCCCATGCCCTTTTTTGAACTTTTTAACCGACCAAAATCCTTATTGAAAGATATTGCTCAAATTACCAGCGATGGGAACAAGTGTGAAACAACCAGGTCTGGGCATGTTTCACTTGTGACCTATAAATAGCTCCAGCTCTATAATGGACTATCATCAAAAATTAAAATATTCATGTTCGACGTGTTCATGGATTTCCCATGACTATAATTTAGTTGGCTTCCTTAGCGCACGCATGTCCGTACCAGTACATTTCAGAAAAAAATAAGACACATGACTGTCAGGAATGCAGCCATGTGACGAATGCCAGTGCTCGTAAGTTGGAAGAGTTTAATTACTTGGATGAAAACGAGCAGGAAATTTGTAGTCTTGGGTTTTAAAACTCGAGGACTGAACTGAAAAACATTTGCTCCCATCGTGAACAAGGTAGTTGACGCAACCTGCCGTTTTCCAGGGAGAGGAAAATTTGCTGCGATCCCTTCGACAATCGCAAAAAAAAAGAAAGGGAGCGGCAAAGAGTGCAACGTTGCCGAAATTCTGCATTTGACCGTACGATTTGCTTTCGACCGATCTCACGCTGCTGGTGGAGCATTAGGTGGGAATGTATGGTATCATTTAATTGTTGGATTGATACCTACAACATTTTTTCTTTCATTGTTCTACCATCAAGCCAAAGGGAAAAAAAATTATGAGTGATGCAATACCGGGAGCTAAATTTCGAATTCTAAATGGAGGGGCAATTCAAAATTGGCAGAACATGAAAACAACGAGAAGAAAAGAAGATTTCAGGTAGATGACCTATTGGATTCCTATCGGGTTCCTTCGATGAATTTGTGCGACCTAGAGGATCCCATCGGATGAAATCTGAAGGTCCTATAGGACAGTGGTCCTCAATCGGTGGGCCGTGCCAATGAAAAAGTATCCGTGAATGCCAAAAAAAGGTTACAGGTCGAAGAACCGCTGGTATAGGATTCCTGTGGGACTGTTTCGAAAGGGAAGTTTCTTTCAGTTTTATCGTTGCATCGTCTGTCGGCTGAAATAGTCGCGTCGGTGCGAGGTGCGAAAGCAGGGAATTTCGCACTTCTGAATTACCTGAGAAAAATGAACTTTTTTTTTAGCTATGAGGATTGGAGCATTGAATTGGATTTTTTTGACAGCTTAAATTTCTAGAGAAAGCATAGAGGTCTGAATCTCAGGGAAGAACAGTCTGCAACGGAAAACGAGCAGAAAAAATGGGGAACAAGGCTTGGAATGTCAGGGGCCACGACACGTCAGGCGACAAACAACATCTGACGTCGGCGTTTTCAACGTTGACCGGGTTCCGCGGTGCCGTGCAGGTGGTTTGCCCTTGAATCGAACGGTTGAAGCCGTTCATCTGTTCTCAGCGTTCAGTAACAGCAACGGCTCCGGAGAACGGCCAGGACACCGTCTCTCAACTTTTCGTCGCGAAAGGCGTAGAGGATCGGCTTCACGAACGAGGCGGACAGACCCAAACAATCCGCGAAAAGGATCGCATAAATGCCGACGTCTTCGTTCTCCCAGAAGAACGTCTCCTGGAAACCGATGACGACCTCGAGACCGAAGCGCGGAGCCCAAGAAATCAGGAAGACGACCGTGACCTCCACGAGCATCTTCACCGCGAGCACCTCCTCCTGCCCCCGCCGGAATTTGGATGCAGTCGCGTCTCCGGCCTCGGTCGGGATTCGTCCCCAGGAGTCTTCCATCCATATGAACAAGCAGCAAAGGGAGATGAGAAACGAAGGGATGAAGTAGCCGAAGACCACAGGCCCCAGCAAGAAGATCGTCCATTTCGTTTCCGTCGACGGCCAGGCATCGATGCAATGCGTGCTTCCTCCCTCGCTCTCGAACGTCTGCACGGAGACTCCACATCATTACTGCTTCCTCCGTGCATCGAAATGATGCATTTTTTTCGACACGGCGAGACGCCCTAATCCAAAGTCAGAGGTGACGAAGATTTTGGATTAGACATCTAATTCCCCAAGATATCTCCAATATATCTAATTCCCCGCGGTGTCACGGGTTGCCATGACTCGTGATGTGAATTTCTCCTCTCGCAGAGTCCAGATGGGCATTTGCAACTTTAGAATGAGGATTCTATGCCATCCGATTTGATAAATTTACGAGGAATCTTCAATTTCAATATGTCGAATGATTGATCAGAAAAAAACAACCAAATTGGAGCTCATGCCAGACCTTTTCGAGTGGACTATCCATGCCCCAAAAGTCATACAAATATAAACCTGCATAAATATATACCAGATATATATGGAACACAGGTAACTGTTTACCTGGACGTAGGATATTTAAATGTAACAATTTAAAAAGAGGGGAAAATTCACAGAATAGGGAGATCGCATTTCAGCTGACAGAAACTACAGCAATTTGTTATTGAAATAAGAAAAGAGACACGGAAACCAAAATATTTCTAATAGAGAAACGAAATATTTCTCGACGAGGAAACACGCGGAAAAAAAGAAGCCGGAGGGAACTCGGCGCGCCTCACCTCCGAGTAGATGAGCCACGGGAGGGAGACGCAGAGGGAGGAGAGCCAAATGACGGCGATCGCGGCGGCTGCCGCTTTCTTCGTCAGCTGCGGCTTCGAGGGGAAACAGATCGCCAGGAGCCTGCTCATCATGGAAAAATAAATTGTATTAATTCTCTTTAATTAATTAATTAAATAAATTATTTCTTTAATTAGTATAACTTATTTATTTCTGCTACGCGATAGAGGGATGAGTAATTATGTATTACAATTCACTTATAATTCGGAAATATAAATGAAATGGAAGGAGAAGTGGTCTGTCATGAAATAAGTTTGAGAAATTAAACGTGGATCTATTGCACAACCAACTTCTCCCATTTCGTTGAAGGCAGTCGTTCATGGGACTTCGGTGATATTTTCTCCTCCATCTGAATAGCAAGATTTCGCTTTTTTTTAGATTGCCGCCGGAAACGAACTCGAGGGAAGCGGCCAGGCGATCGCGGCCGGAAGCGGCCAGGCGATCGCGGCCGGAAGCGGCCAGGCGATCGCGGCCGGAAGCGGCCAGGCGATCGCGACCGGAAGCGGCCAGGCGATCGCGACCGGAAGCGGCCAGGCGATCGCGACCGGAAGCGGCCAGGCGATCGCGACGAAATGTTGCACCGTCGAAATGACCCAGTTTCGCGAGGAACCGCGGCGAACGGAATCGCGAGCCACGGTTGAAATTCGCATTCAAACTCCTCCCCCTCGCGATATTTGCATGCTAATGCTCTCATCCACATTGCGAATGGATGCGTTAGCGTTATCAGCAGCGAATATTCCCACCATCGTCTGAGGATGAATTCTCATTTCCCTGACTCTGGGACTCCCGTTTCCACGGATTTTCCGCGTAGGAACTCTCAATTTTGAAAGACATCAATGAATTTTTTTCTTTCTCCTCTTCCCCCCCCCCCCCCTTTTGGGCAGTCACACCTGAGGGATTTCGGAGGAAAGACACCAACCGTGAGAGAGATGAAACGCGTAGACGAGGAAAATTGCCCTTTTTGTTATTTACTATGCACCATTTCACCACGAAAATTGAAATTAGCTGTCGTTCAATTGAGCTCATAGAGCCTGCTCCGGTCCCGTCCCCCAGTGTTGCCAGATGTCGTGCAAAAATTCCGCCAGGTTCAAGACGAATCCATTCTCTGTCTCGGCGAGTTTTTTAAACGTACGAGACATTTTTCCGCCGAGTTAATTAGCTGAGCCGATAATGAAGCGGTTGGCATCGATTGATCTGCGGCTAGCATCGATTGATCGACGTGGTGGGACATGGAGGCATCTTCTTCGGACATCCCCCAATTACCAGGATGGCGCGCGCCGCGGACGTCAAGCTTCCTGGAGGGAGGCACTCCCTCCTCAGACCTATTCGAGACGGTTCGATGAACCCGAGAAAGTCCCACGTCCGCGCTGAAATGGTTCATGAAACGCGAAACAGCGGGGGGGGGTTGAAGAAAGGGGAATCCATTAACAATTACTTTCCACATTACTTCATTTGACTTTATATTTGTCATCTTTTGCGGACCTGTCGACGGCGACGGCGAGGAGGCTGTTGATGCTTGCCGCTACGGACGCATTCGCGAAGAAACTGGAAAACTTGCAGAGGAACCATCCCAGCGGCCATTCTGCAAAAATTCAAACACTTTTTTTCTTGCTAGAGAAAAATAAAGAGAAGAAACTCCTGATGATCCCGGCTCGAATTTAAAATCTAAATGGAGTGGGAAGCAAAGGGTAAATATTAAATGATAACGACGGTTGAATTGGATGTACCGTTAGTGACGTTGCTGTAGGAGGTCGGAACGCCGAAGACGACGAGGAGGGCGTCGGCGAGGGCCACGTCGGCGAGGAAGAGATTCGCGACCGTCCGGAGTCGGCGGTCGCGGGCGATCGCAGCCGCCACGAGGAAGTTCCCGACGAGTCCCGCGAGGAAGATCGCGGCGTAGGAGACGCACGCGACGGCCGCGAACGTCGCGCCGTAACGATGCATCCCGCACGTGCCGTTTCGCGGAGATTTTTTCACTTCTCTCTTTCGCTCTCTCTCTCGCTCTCTCTCTCGCTCTCTCTCTCTCTCTCTCTCCTTCTCTCTCTCCCTCCCTCTCATCGACTGCAAGCAGAATGAACGGAATCATTTCGACATGCATGTGTCATGTGGAGGGCCTTCAAAGTGGACGTAGAGACGTAGAGGTCTCGAGTACAAAACGTTGAACAGGACGGGAGACGCACGCACAAAGCGAGGGACGGGAGACTGCCTCGCCAGAACACACGGTCGCGGAAGACTCGAGACGAAGGCCGGCAGACGGGACGGCGTGACCGGATGTCGCACACGCCCCCAGACACAAATAGAGGTCTTCGCGGCACGAAATTCTGTCAGGGGCATAGCCCACGCAGGACCGCGGACATGGGAACAACTCCGCGGACATGGGAACAACTCCGCGGACATGAGAACAACCCCGCGGACATGGGAACAACCCCGCGGGAGCTCTGGGGCTCTCGTCTTGACGTGTTTGAATTATATATTTCACTTGTATCAGCCATAACGATTACAAGTGCATTATTAATTATTAAATTATTCGAACTCTCAAGAGTTGCATAAAGCGTTTGAGGGTTCCATTAATAAAAAATTGAAGTTCATGGGTATTTTCCGAGGAATCCCAAAGTTAAAAAGATGTTACCTATCGATCTGGAAGCAGCGCCTTCCTCCAGATTTAATCAATGCGGAATCAGAAGACAGCGACGATGATCGGAAGCCGGCGGAAAAAAAAAACATCAGCCAGCCGAAGGAAAAGTTCCACCGTTTCCTTATGTGCAAAGCGAAAGGAACTTCTGAAGCAGAAAAGGATAATTCCAAAACGGGAAAAAGTAATCCCAGCGGAAGCAGCCAACGTTGCAATGAACTGCGACGAAATGCGACGAAATGCGACGAAATGCGACGAAATGCGACGAAATGAGTCGCCTCATGCCTGGCAAGAAAAAAAATCGTCCGTGCCAAATTAGCAAGAACTTCGTTGGAAACGCCGCCGTCGCAGCTGGCGCAATAAAAAAATATGAAGCTGATGATATTGGACGGAATGATTAACAGTCAGAACGACTGTTGTCGATAAACAACCGAAAGAATACAGTTGCTCTCTCAAGCGAGAATCGCCTGCTATCTTCCCGATCGATTCCGAGAAGGCCGTTCGTGCCGTGACGTGTCGGGTCTGAACGAACGCCTGGGATCGCTAATGGCCACGGTATGACGTCTACGTCGGCCTGGATTGGATCTTCGTTCGCGGATCCAGCTCAGAGACTCTCAGCTAATTCTCTCGAAATTTTTTTTTTAAATTTATTTAATTAATTTTTTACTTAATAATTTTTTTAAATAATCTGTGAGAATCTGGGAGTTTAACCCGGTTCATTCTTTCATCCTTTTCTCGTTCCCTCGAGCCAACGAGCTGTCGTCGCGCTTCAAACTGAAACTTGACACTTGACACTTTCGGAGGTCCTTACAAGTTGTAAGGGTTTTGGATCCATGGAAGGTCATTGGCTTACCATGCATGGTATTCATGCTTCACGATTCTGCATGGATCAAACACCTAACAACTTCTTCAAGTTGAAGTAATTTTGGGAATGACCCTTTCATGGAAATGAAGGTCAAAGGTCAGGCCTTTTCTCTTATATATTTTGAAATTCCACGAATCACACATGATTAAAAAGGGAGTAAAGAGACTTTTAAAATGACACCTCCTTCAGCTCTTTAGGTTAATTAGAACAAAAGTTACCAGCACTTAAGTGAAGATTTCATGCAAATTTGGTGCTTTTTTGCAACATTCAAATCGCTGCACCTCAGAAAGTACATGATCTAGAGAGCTGCAATCTGACGTGGAATCGTTACTCATCGACCTCCCAAAATCGATCCCAAAATTGCGTGGAAATCGGAGGGGCCAAGCTTAAGGACCACGTTGACACGGAACGACATCCAGTGAAATCGTTTACGGCGGCGTCAAAAACATCCACAAAATCACGGTCAACTCGGTGCACCAAAGGAGGAACGGTAGTTCCGACACGCACTGCCACGAGGAAAGAGGATTGTACGTATTCGAGGGGAGGCTCTCGGGAGGCTCTCGGGAGACTCTCACAGACGCGTTCGGAGCCCGAACGTACTCACGCACATGCACGCGCACGCACGCTCCTTCGCAACCGCAATCGGATTTCTCAGATGCGAGTGGGTGAAAGCCTTTGACCAGGGTGCAGAGTGCGTGAAATGTGCACGCAAGCTGATGCCTCCTATATCAATATAGCTTGTAATTATTTCGTTATTATCAGGTTTCAATAATTTTATGTCGCACCTTGAAGATCCATTCTTGCCCTGCCGAACCAAGATTTTCACGCATAGTCATTTTTGACGCATTTTGACGCAGAAAACCTGCCAAAAATGGCAGGTTTTCTGAGAAAGGATTACTCCGTCAACTTCTTTTGTCTTAGGAGAGTCTCCGCGCTAAGTCAGCTGGAGTCGGGCTCCCCAGGGGTCCCTTTTGTCCTTCCCAGGCTTTCACTTTGGTTCTCATCCTTGGGCCCTATCTGCAGAGATATCTTCCCTTTCTTCCTTTCAAATAGTTGACACGTTTGACATTTGTGATTTGACCCATTTCCTTTTTTATTCCAGGTTCTATGTAAATGGTAATCAATGTCACTTGGATTTCTTACAGAATGGTGTATGGACCCTTTGAAAGCAGTGAAAGGGTGATATTCTTAATCAGATAAACGTACGTTTCCGGAAAAGATTCTCGACAATTGTAAAAATTTCCCAGCCTTCCGACACGATTTACGCATCATCCATTGAAAAATTAATTAAATTATGTATTGTGATGACGACGGGGAGCATAGGAAACCTAAGGGTGCGAATCCGTACCGCGAGCACCAACATGTGTACCATGAGGGTGTGCATCTCGACCCTCTGCAGGCACACCCTCCACGCACCCTTCTCGCACCTTTTTCTTCACAGTGTGGGACGGAGTAGACCCAGAATTGCCTGGGGTCTCCACAGGCTGGATCGCCTCTTTCGACATCTTTATTTTTTAATTTCAATGTCTCTCCGATTTATTTTGTGTCAGGGGAAATATCGAGGCAATGCGAGGGACGTTTAAAATGTATTGCCTCCTCCTCCTCTTTCCTATAAATATTGACTTCAGGAAAGTAATGTGATTTTTCATGGAGAATGGAATGGAGGCTTTAATTTGATATGATTTCCTGTTCTCTCTGCTTATCATATCATAAGGAAATAAAAAATTTGTTGGACTTAGTCATACTCACTGAGCTCTGCAGCTACTACAGAGTAACTGGAGCAGGTGACATGATAATAAAAACCAATACTTATTTAACGCCCGTCGTACGAAGCCCAGCAAGGGGTGGCAGCCCTTATGGGAACTCCATGTTCAGACTTCATGCGCGATATCAAATATGGTCATACAAGGGTGCTTTGCTCGGAGTATACATGGTGCAAATAAAAATTATATATGGGAGACTGTATTTGGAAGCCGTTCCAGTTCGTATAATGTTTTGGCCATTCTTAATGAATAAGTATTAATAACTGCCTTTGGATGTTCCGTAAGGGAATAATGGGTGACTTGTCGAATCGTAATTACACGCGCCATCTTGCATCAGTTACTGGAATCACATTCATGCAAGTAGATGAGTTTATTTACTTTCACAAACTATATTTTCAACATGATAGCTATACCAAATATTAAGTTATACAAATACATTCTAGATATAGCTGTATTTTCCTTCCAAATTCCTTTGTTTGGCAAATAATCAAATCCAATAATGTTTATTTTGCAAGGAAAAAAAGGACAAAAAAAACATAAGTGACCATGGAGGGCAGCATGAAATTTCCAATTCCAATCTTTAAAAGGTCATGCATTCATATCTAAGCATTTGAAGTACTTCCAGGAAGTGGATGTATTTGATGCAGGACTTATTAATGTCTGGGAATTGCGATTGTCCTATAAAAATAGTTTTCTCCATATGAAAACTTAAGTCAGGGTTTTCAGTTCAATTTTTTTCTGAAATTCTGAAAAACTCATTCTTTCTAAACTAACGTTTCCTTACTATTAACTCATATTCATCACCTCACTACTGTTTAGCTTCGAACAGACCGAGAAATGTGAACATTTGGGGGGTGGGGGTGAGATTATTTTTACTCAGTTATCATTGGAATATCTTTCGCTCTGGTTCGAGGATAAATTCCTGTTGAAACAATAAAATTTAATTTTCTTAATATATTAAACCATACGCTGACCATTTTGTCACTAGCGGTTGCTGGGAAAACCCTTTAATTTCTGAAAATATTCATCCATGCGCACTCGCGCAATCACATCCAGTGGTCATCCGGGGAATTCCTTTTGTGCGAATGCACTTGGTTCTACTCATACAAGCATGTACATTTGTCTGGCAGACGGACCGTTCAGGCAAGGGCCCGTATGGCGAGCCCGTCTCCCAAACGAGTGAGTCAGCGGACGGGTTAAACATTTGACATTAAAAGGTTCAATGAATTCAACTCGTCAATATACTCCATACTTACCCGATATAAGAGACCATTTCGAGGGCATCACCTGGTTAAAGCGCAGGAGTTCCCACCAGTAGGATTCAACTTATTTAGCCCGATGCGTTTACGCTTTTACTCACCTCGTCTCTTTCGATGGAACTGCCAAGTTATTTAATTTCGTAATCACCTGCGCTTTGAGAGCGGAATTGATGCCAAACCGGTATTGCTCCATGGTAATTACTTGTATTCCTTTCCAGATATCTTCCAGCGGACTCACGGACTCTGTAGCAAATAATTTTCGCAGTGGAAAACCTGGGATGAACTCCGTTGCATCACATAAAATTCTAATCCTTGTCGGATTCACAGCCATGTGCCTCCTCGCCTTTGGAATCTTACGGGAATGGAACTGGTTCAGGGCACGACATAGCTTGATGGAAGAGTGCATCAAGTTGGACTGTGAAATGAACTTAGAAAAGGAAGTCTCATTCAGTGGCGCGTGGTGCCCCAGGGAAAGCGTGGTGAAAATTCACGAGGCCTATTTCGACGAACCTCTTGCGAAAGAAATTTCGAAATTTTTGGTCGGAAAATCCGTGGCCGATTTTGGGGCTGGCAGCGGAAAATACGTGATTAAGCTGAAGGAATTAAGGGAGGTGGCCAATGTCGACGGTTACGACGGGATGCCAAGCGTGAATGTCATCAGCAAGGGAGCCGTGAAACAAGTGGACCTGACGGAAGACCTTGGGACGAGCATCCCCATGTACGATTGGGTCATGAGTTTGGAGGTAGGAGAGCACATCCCCAAGGAGAAGGAGGAAATTTTCCTGGAGAACGTGTGGGGCCATGCCCGAGATGGGATCATCTTATCTTGGGCAATACCTGGACAAGGCGGGAATGGACACGTGAATAATCGCCCAAATGAGTATATCATATCAAAGATGGGGAATGCATCTTTCGCTTTCCAACCTACGGAGACTAAGAAGATCCGAGAAGTTGCAAGAATTGGACATTTCCATGATACGCTCATGGTTTTCAAGAAAACTCATGAATAGGCTCTGGTATCATTAGGTAACACAATGGCACCAACGACGGAGCTAAACATCAAAAGCGACTAATAAGTATTCAACGTTTTGAAAACGAATTAGCTGTCAGAGATATATTCAGGCAATCTACTCCATGCTCTGTGATTATTTTCTGGCATCTTAGGGAATCCATAATATTTGTGTGAGTTGTAACTTCGCTCCTCCTGACTCCGAAAACCGAATGGACGGAGTTATAAGGAATGTAGGGTCTGCTCATCTTACGGGGCAACACTGCCTCCCATGTGTGTTGCATCGATTGACGTCTGGAGTCGGTTTCTGGATTTCTCCACCTTGCTTTCTTCAATTTAGGAGCGATTTATGTTATCGATTTAATTGCGTGTCTGCTTTAGGAATGGCAAATATACCACTTCGTGGGAAAAAAAATCGATCATCTCGGTCTTTGCCTGCATTTCTTATTCTTCACGCAAACACCTCTTCAAGGATGAATTGTTGGATTATACCACATCATGTAATTCCAATGGTGTAACTGCACTTGTGACTCCTTTGGTGACTTCTTGATCAACATTCAAATTCTAAGGCTAAGCCGCTAGTACTTGGAATGGAATTACTCGCTACCCATTTTGAAAACGGAGTGAAGTAAGCCGAAGGCTTACAGAAATGAATATTTAAATATGACACGGGATGAAAATGTTTAAAACCACAGAAAATTACACTTCGTCGTACGTCATCGTGTCAGTCTCGGAATTCCACATTTGCATGCAGAGATGCATTAGTACATTTATCGATTTTTCGCTTCATCTTTTCCCGACGATGGGAGATGCAGGCGAACCAAAATGCAAGAACCAAAGAGAAAGTAGAAATTCCAGCGAAACAGCCGACTTGTTGAAATTGATACTAGGTACGGAAAGGGGCTTTCCACCCCCTCTGTGCATATTCCCTGGCCTTAAAAATGCCTTTTAGACAGATGTATCAGCCATCTAATGAGAAAGGTTTATGAAAAATGACATTTCCCAAGAAAACCTAGGCCCGGGAATATCTTCTCGTCGAAACAAGGCTATAGACAATAAGAGCTCCCATATGGCCTTCGGGCCATGAAATATCATAGAGTAGGGAACAGGGAATACGAGCTTGTTCATGGCCTGGGCTCCATGGTCCTGTCTAGGATATGGGAATAAATGATGAAGTGTCCTGGTCTATTGATTTCTATAATGACACTGAGCAAGACATTTGGCGAGGTACTAAACACTCATGTTAAGGACGAATCCACAGAAAAATGAAAGGACACCTCAGTGCATTGTGCGAAAAGCAAGACCCATCTTCCATATAATGGCCTGAAGGAAAAATTCAACTTTCCCCCCAAAAATTCCAAGTGCAACTTAGGCACATTGAACATCTCGTAGGTCCGAATTTGAATCGATTATGGAATGGCAATATTGGAGAGCCAATATTTTCCCTATATTGGCCAAGGTGTAGCCAACGTGCCCAATGTTGGTCCAGCATTAAACCAATATCTGGTGTTACTCAGATCATTTTCTCATCTAATCCACCACATTTTCTCATTTCCTTCCCCATGCCTTCTAATGTAAATGCCCTTCATTTCACTTATTCAGTTGAAAAGTAATCTCGGCCAATCATCTGTATTAAGAACTAGCGAGTTTGTTTGCCCGAAGGGCAAACAAACTCGCTATTGTCGCGCCTTCGGCGCTCTATTACCTTGGATAGTGATTAATTCATTCATTTTTTTCCGAAATGGGAAACACGTATTTAAAGCACGTCGGCAATGAAATACGTGACACATGAAGTCGAAAGTCTTGATTTTCATCAAAATCATTACCTCTGTGATTCTGTGTGCCAAACTTTTTTGTAAGGATGGAGAATACATTTTGAAATACTTCCCTCCAATAATCTACGCTAATGAGGCATATTTCAAAATTAGGATTTTTCCTCTACCCAGCCATTAAACAGGTACTTCTGAGGGAAGCTTAAATTTTCTGTCTCTGTTTCTTTGGATCAACAAAAATTCAGAAAATGGGACTGAGAAAAGTGCCCTAATGGGTTTTATCGAATTTTTTTTACTTTTGAAATGTAGACACCGGAAACTCCATGCCACACAGTTTCAACCTTACACGTTTCCCCTTTTCGCTGGCGAAAAAAAAATGTATTTGGAAAATGGACCCACCCAAAAGCTGTGCTCTGAGGAGGTATATAGAAAAAGATTAAGTTTTCCTTAAATCAGCATCACGTCAGTGATGGGTGCACCAGCTACTTTTCTATGTCTGCACGGTGAACTACATGCCCACAAAGTTTCTATATTATACGTTTGCCCTTTTCACTGGTGAAAAAAACATGCTTGGAAAAGCGGAGCCTCCTAAAAGCTTTGCCCGGAGGGGATGCACCATGAAAGCTGAATACTTCCTCAGCTCAGTAATATCATGTCACTTATACGTGTGCCAAGTTTCACCTTTCCATTTCTGTCCAATTT